GTCTAGTTACAAGAATTCCACGCACTCAGTTAATTGTAATATTTTTTTGATCTTTCAATTGTTGAATTGCCGAATCTGCAGCTGCATGTTCAGCATCAGCCTTCCTTCTTAAGACTGTGCCCAAGACTTTCATTGTGGCTCCTGGGCACTGTCATCGCTTTGTTTGGAAAGCTTGCCGGAACTCAAACATCATGACCACCATGACTTTTATTTTCTTCGTCAAGGAAGGTCCTTCCCAAGCAAACTCCACGCAGCTGCGCCAGCCACCGTCTTCTTGACGGGTCTGCATTTTGCAAAAACTGCAAGAAAGAAAACAATCTGCAAAGTTTAAGACATCGGCGCCTGGTACACCACATCGCCTCGTTGGATGGGACGCCCCAACCTCTCTCAACAAAATGAGGTGCGTCACTGATGAATGTGCTTTCCGGAGCCCTCCTGGGAGGGTCCTTTTGGCCTAATCTATCCGATCCAATTCTGTGCAGTACAGAGTCGATGTTGCAAGATTGCATCGCTTGACAAAGACCCCGGACCCTGCCTGTTCTGGATGACCCGTTGCAATTCCCCTTTGCCGTGCTCTGAAACCTTGTCGGGATGTTCACACACCACTTCAATCCGGATTGACTCGGCGAACATAAGTTGAAGGACTTGCTTGTCAGCAGAGGTGGTCAGGAACAGGATCAAGCAAATCAAACAAAATGTTATCCATTCTTCATGGCTGATTTGTCTCTGGCGTGCCTCGGTGAGAAGCTTCACGAATGAAAGCCGAAATCTCTCGGTCTCGTCCAGCGCCTCCTAGGTGGTAGCGATGCGAACATCGCACCCCACATTACACCTTTCTTCCTTTTCTTTTTTCATTGTTTCTAACAGCGATGGCCTGCAACATACAAAACTAGGCGCTTTGTAGAGTCTCACTCAAGTGCCAAGTGTCCACTCGCACCAGCACTCGGTCACTCTCCCTCAAGCTGTGCCTCCCTCCAGTGGCAGGCAGCACTCCACAGACTTCGCCTTAAGCCACGGGCTTGCCACATTGAAGCATCAATCATGTGGAAATCGAAATCTTTGTTTTTGTCTTATCAGGGAGTATCTCTGCTTGACCATCTACTCATCGAAGACCTCAAAATAACATGTCGAAGGCAAACTAATTCACCTACTCCAGCCTTCAAATATAAATACCCTTTTTTTCACTGAGGCACAATGGATGTCCACGAAGGCCGAGCCATGTTGCACGGAGACCACGGAGCCTTCGTGCTCTCGGGTACCTCCAAGCAAACGACCAAGGAAGGAGGTTGGCAAAGCTGCTATGTCCGATTCATATCTCAGCCTAAATGTCTACAAACACTGTAACAGGAAGAACAAATGCCTCAAGTGTTACAGCGCTCAGTTAAGCCCGACCTGAGGCCACATCTTCAATGCTAAGCCGCGGCTGCGACTCCTCAAGATTGATTGCAATTCTTTGCTTCAATATAAATATGAAAAAGAATTAACACAATCAACGACTGCTCTTGTCAAGGTGCTGGAGTAAGATTCAAGGAAATCCGGCCACCCTCCAGATTGCGGCGACGTGCGTAGACCTCCACCACATCTCCCAGAGACAAATTGCGCCACCTGCTCATCTCAGAAAAGAGTACGATCCAAAACCAAAAAAACAAGCGCAATTTCTTTTTAGTCTCATATTGCACTACACTTATGTCTCATTGTTGATTCCTTCGCGTCATGCGTTCATGCGTAGGATGACCGCAGGCAACGCCTAGCAAATGCTAATCTTGAGTCACCTGAGGAAGAGCTATTAAACTCCAACTCCGCAACCACAAGGGAAAGAAGCTGAGCCAGTGGTTGAACCCAGGCTACAGGATCATGATGATCCTTGAATCAGCCGCACAAATTTGTGCTCTGCAGTCTGGGCCGCAATAACTCAGCCTTTCATGGTCTTCCTTATAAGCTCACAACCAAGACCTTGCACTGTCGGGTGCGGCAGCGCTTCACTGGCATCACCTTCTTTGTCAGCTTGGCAGACTCCAAAGGCTCTGCAGGTGCAGGACCTGAAAGGGGTTTACCCTGTTCCGCATTTGACTTGGATTTCCAATGATTGAAAACAAAAACATTTTCCTTGAGTAGGTCCAGGCAACCTGCGGCATCCTCGGCAAAATGGTGGAACGGGTCCTTGCGAAGATCTTGTATCCAGTCATCAAAGCAAGAGGGATCCACCTGGATGGCGCTCAGGAACACCTCCAGGTGGGCCCCGTGGTCCAAGACTTTGCAAGACCCAGTCAATAGGCGCCATTTCTCAAAGCGAAGCTTGTATGTGGCCGAAAGGCCTTTTGCCACCATGATAACGGCTGTGAGATGCTTTTCTAGGAAGAGCCAAAGTGGCTATGAGGACCTCTCTTTGATCAAGGGAGCATGGAAGCTATCCTTTCATTCAATGTCCACATGCCCAAGCCAAACCACCAAAAATAATGCGAATTTGAAGGGTTGGAACTTCACTGAGAAGTGACTTTGTGACTTGGTCTTGTTGAATGGAACCTTCGCCAAAAAGATGCTCACAGTTAGTGGTGGGATTGACTTAACCAGCTCTTTTCCCGAGAGCGTCTGCGAAGGGTTCTTCAGAAGAACTGCATCTCATCTACATCTTCACATCTTCACTTCTGCACATCCACATTCTCACCTGTATCTCTGCTCATCTTCACATCTACATTCACAACTGCAGGGGGCAGTACCGCCGGAGCACCACAGATCGTGCGTGTCGAGCGCCCGAAATGCAGGCGAGAGTGCGATTAGTCTCTGTCCGTCGCAGCCCTCTGCGGAGATCGTGCGTGTCGAGTGCGCGAAATGCAGGCGAGAGTGCAATTTGGTTTTGTCGCGGGCAGCCCTCTGCGGAGATCGTGCGTGTCGAGTGCGCGAAATGCAGGCGAGAGTGCAATTTGGTTTTGTCCCGGGCAGCCCTCTGCGGAGATCGTGCGTGTCGAGTGCGCGAAATGCAGGCGAGAG